AAAAAAAAAAAAAAAAAAAAAAAAAAAAAAAAACAAGCAGTTGTTTGGTTGGAACTACCAATTGAAGTCAATTCTGGTTGTTACTAGTGATTTGTTGAAGGGCTTTCAAAATGATGTCATTTGGTAATGGTTTTTTTTTCTGCATTCTTAGTTCTTGTACAGTGGTACAACAGCATATCGTACGACATTTGAATTTAAAACATGAACAGGCAACCATTTATTATGCTTTTTTTTTTACAAAAACTTTTTAAGAGGTTTATTATGGTTGTGACCTTTTTGAAAACCATTTACGTACAAGTTTTTTATGCCAAGTGGGCCACTTTTTTCTTAAATAATACTGGGATTAAAAAAAAATTTATTTGTTTACATTTTTGGAAGACGATTAACAGCTAATCATATCGAGTCATTTCAAGAAGTAACTAATGTAACTGTAACTGGAAATTCAATTGTTTAAATGATTTTTGGTGAGCTAAATCTAGTTTGATTTAAGCTTCAGTTGTTATCAACCAGCAGATGCTGATCAAAAAACTTTACTAAACGAGTGCACCAGAATCTTACTGCTCAAAACTTAGAAATGACATTGAAGTAAAATGATAAGATCAAAGAGAATTGATGGGAAAGAGAAAAAAGGGGTAGAAGGAAAGCAATTTTATTAAAATTGAAGAATCTCTTGTGTTCTCTTTAAAAGCTCCTCATATGAAGCAATAGAGGTGTAGAAGTCAACACTGGTAATAGTCGTATAAAAGTCACTCATAGATCTCTGAAGCGCTTTTGGAAGCGAAATAAGGTATTGCTCATATTGGTAATTAGAGTTTTTCATTAAGTGGTAAATTTCTAGGCAAAAAAGGCGCTTAAGTAGATAATTACAACATATCTGATTTGTAGAATGAATGTTTTATAGGGTTTATGTATAGATCTATAAAAAGATAATTATTTTTGGTTCATTGGTAGTATCAATAATCAGTGCACAGCAAAGATTAGGTACTTGCGGAACTGTATTGCAATGAGGAATCTTGGTTTTTCTACATTTAGCAATATTTAGGGTTAATTTTAGTTAGGCAACGCTGTTTCAGTAATTTGAACGTTCGAAAGTTGTCTGAACAAAACAAGTGGATTGAAGGCTTAAAAAATTGCTCGTTTTTTTTTTTCAAAAGTTGCAATAAAAAGTAAAAAAAAAAAAAAGAAAAAAAAAAGAAATGAATTTTTTTGCAAAAAGAATTGAAACTGAAACTATGTAACTGGAATTTGCAATAAACCAAATAATACAGCAATAAAGTTGGAGTATTTTTCCATTTAAAAAGTTGTTCAACAACTAGCAGAGAAAAAAAAAAAAGTAACAGAAACTAACAGTATAAAATTGAAAATTTTTGTAGCATTATTAGTACTATATTTTTTGGTCTTTTCTGCTTGCAAATTTATTTATTACTTCTGTAGTATGTGCTGTTGAATTTATGTTACTTTTAAGAATGCTTTTGCTTTTAATAATTGTAGACTGAGAATGGAAGGAGGAAACTTATCCATGCAATGATGACGTCCATTTTATTAGTGTTATAAATTTAAGCTGTTAATCAGTATAACATCGTCATTGTCAACATCATTATCATCGTTCTTCATAGACGATTACAACTGCTGATTCTGTAATCTAAACTAATTGATTCTGTGTTGTTGTTGTTGTTTGATGTAAGCTGTTCACAGTATTTTATTGAGAGGAAAAAGCCAAAAATTTAAACATCAATAGTTGAAATTTTAATTGTATCTTTTTTGCTTTCTTTTTTTTTATTTTCTCTAATAATTGTTGTTCTAAGTTGGTGATTAGACATGGTGTAGATCAAGAGTTGTAGGTGAACAGTACAATGGA